ACACATTTAAGGGTAAAATACAAGATACATCCAGGTTTACTTTAAAATACTGCAGCCAAAAACAAATTAAAACACATTCATCTATTTTTGTAGCATGAAGGAAACCTTGTAAAATGTTCATCACTGAATCTGGATTAATTTATTGGGCTTCTAAAATTAATTATTGGTCTGGGCTTCTAAAATTAATTATTGGTCTTTTGTGCAGTTCTCAAATTTTTAATGATACAATTTTTATGATAAAAAATTGGATTTATTTCTGGAATATAACAAAATGCTCATCAGGGTCATTTGGAAAAGTGAAATACTTGTCACATGGAAGAATGAAATACAGAAAATTAAAAACACAGGTTAATGAGCAGCAATGGACACCATCACTAATTCATTTTACAAAGCTACAATAATTAGAATACAGTTATTCCACATTATACCTGGCCCGCTGTGCCAGTCCTGCCCCTGGTGCGCACTAAGACAGCGATTAAAACTGGGCATGAGGGGGTGGGGAGATGGCTCAGTGGAATAAGCGCTTCCCTGGCAAGCACAAGGGCCTGAGTTCAATCCCCAGTTTCGGAAAAAAAAAAAAAAACGGCGTGGTGGCGTGGGCCTGTAATCCCAGCTCTTGAGAGGCTGAAAACAGGATGATCACTATGAGTCTGATCTGTGTAGTGAGACCCTGTAGACCCTGTACTAAATACAATAAATAAAATAAGTAGAACAATACTGGTACAAGAGTAAATGATCAAGAGAAATATAAAACCCCAAGACAGTCCTAAGGTGTATCAATTTTAATAATAGAGTTCTGATTTCTAATTAATTATAGAAGTTTGAATTATTCACAAAGTACCAAGGGGCAACTGTTTAATAAGTTAGGAAAAAAAAAAAACCAGGAGGATCACTACAAGTCTGATCTGTGTAGTGAGACCCTGTAGACCCTGTACTAAATACATTTTTTAAAAAACCTGTGATAAATAATTTAGAAAAAAGATATTTTCTATCTCATACATTATGGCATAATAAATTTCAGATGAATTAATCAATGTATTTTCAAAATATATTAAGAAAATGATATCTTTTCCAAAAGAAAATATAGTGAATATATCTGTCATCACATTCAAAAAGCTTTTTAGCATAAAAATAAAGAGAAACTATAAATGAAAAGTTATAGTTATAGTTAAATTTATTTAACTATATTCAATATTTAAAATTTTACAACAAAGCAAAGAAAAAATATTTTATTTTATGCAGTATTTTCAATAGAGGACTAAAATAAGCACTTACCGAGCTCATCTCGGTCCTCAGCAACATTCTGTAAGGTAAATGGTATTATCTCTATTTCTATTTTACAGAATAAACTGAAATTTAGAAAAATTAGTCATACAGCTAGAACTTTGTGGCACTAAGGTTAAAAACCAGGTCTATCTGACCTCAGCTATATCCATTGATCACTTTTTCACACTGTTTCTCATGTATTAATAAATATCCTTAGACTGGGTGTGGTGGTGTGCGCCTGTAATTCCAGCACTTGGGAGGCTGAAAACAGGAGGATCACTATGAGTCCCATCTACATAGTAAGACCTTGTAGGCCCTGTAGACCCTGTAGACCTGTACAAAATACATTAAAAAAGGAAAGAAAGAAAAGGTCCTTTAAAGACTTCTCCAAATACAGCTTTTCTAACAGCAATGGAACACCCATGTCTGACAAAACAAAACAAAACAAAAAAGGGGGATACAAATAAAGGACCATTTTGTTGTGAAATATATATATATATATATGACAGTTAGGATAGATATACAGCTACTTTCTCTCAATTCAATGAGAAGAAAAGTTTGTACTAATATTGTTTAGACATGATATCATGTCCACATCTTATCCTCTGAAAAACTACTATGAAGACAACAATATGCAATGTATTAATTATTGTAACTGTCCTACTAACCTGTTTTGAAGCTGTTTCATTGCTATTTTATCTTTTTTCTCATTAAAATGAATTTAAAAATTTTAAAATGTACATAGTAAAGACAAAATAGGGGGCTGGGGAGATGGCTCAGTATAATAAGTGCTTCCCTGGCAAGCACAAGGGCCTGAGTTCAATCCCTGGTTCTGCAAAATAAATAAATAAATAAATAAAATAAAGACAAAATAATCTTGAAAAACAAAAATAAATAAATAAGTGTCCTTATATAAATAGTTCTTACAAGTCAAAAATAAATATGGGCCAAATGCAAAAATAGGCAATTCATAAGAGGAGATATATAATTTACCAACTCCACACAGGAAATATAGACATTAGGTATTGTAAACATACATTATTTTTTTTTAAAAAGGAAGAGGATACAGAGATGAATGGAGAGAAGATGAAAGGAAGGGACAGGGGACACACACACAAAAAGTAAGGTGTATTATGTCCCAATTTCTCACAAGGAATGTACATGTTATGTACTACCAAAATTTACTTTAAAAAAAAACTGAGCATGTATGTTTTGGCACAAAAAATATCACTTAGCCATCAGAAAATATGTTTACTGAACATTTCATATCACAGGAAAATGTGATGTAATAGCATTAATTTGAAAAGCACTTCTTCGATGAATATGTGCAATTTACACTAAGGGGGAAAAAACAACCCATTAATGTGTCCCTCCAAAACAAAGCTGCCAAGGAGGTGCTCAGTTTCTCTCAGATCACAGAAGACAGGGCCTCTCTTCCTGAGAGCTCAAACAACAGCACAGGGGAGATGAAGTTAAAGGCGAGGAAGAATTTCCTGTCTGTCTGTTCTGGACTAAATGAGTGAGCGTCATCAACCTAGAATGTTGCTTTCCTTTCTTGGGGTCAGAGGGAGTACTGTCCTTTCAATACCCAGGAAGTAGAGAGGCCATAGCGGAAGTGCCAGCTTAGCCTCAGGATGAAGGGTGTGTCCTTGGGGCAGTCCTCTCCCATCTCTGATCACAGTTTCCTCATCTAGAAAATGGGAGCAGTGGGAGGTCAGTACCCAGTGCTAATAGCGTACTTTGTTCATGGAGTTTCCATTTGGGACCCTGTGGCACACCATGTCTTAGCCACTTCTCTTCCACCAAATGCAGGAGTCTGTGCCACAGATGTGAAATCCAAGGTGGGAATCCTAGTAAGATAATATTTTTTTTCTTCAGTATCCTTTGAGGATAAGGAAGAGCCACACTGGCACTTATAGCTGCAGTGGCCAGCGCATTTAGCAAAACCCAAAGCCCATCCCTGACCCCCAAATCCGACCAGGCTGAAGACAGTTGTACCGAAGGCCATTGGGGGTGATCTTGCTCAAAGTTGGACTTTTTTCTTTCTCGTTCAGAGGCCAGAGCTGGCCTCACTCATCACGTCAACCTGGTCTTACTTCTCTGGCAAGAAACTCTGACCCTAACCCAGCACTGCCTTCCTTCCTAGGCATCCAGAACTCTGAGAAGCCTCTTTTTCCATTCAAAGCTGACATCTCCCACATTAGACAACAGTGGAGCATCAAGACATCAGAGAGCTAGGAAAGCAAGCACCTGACTTCCCCCTCACCCTCTATACCAGTGGTGGTGAACCTGTGGTGCACGTATCATTTGCTTTTCTTTTAAGATGGAAGATGTTAGTAAAGCCATATAAATATGCTGAGCTGTGAAAGGCTCAAATCAACAACTTCTGTGGATAACCCACTACTATTGTGGCCTGCTGGACTGTGTTGGATTGTTTTGCTGAATTCATTCACCTATGGTATTTAGATGCCAATGGAATACCCATTTCTGACAGGACTAAAGAAAAAAAGGGGATGCAAATGAAGGACCATTTTGTATCTGTATATGCAAAATAGTTAGAATAAATATACAGCTACTTTCGCTTAACTCAATGAGAAGAAAGATTTGTACTAGTAGTGTTTGGACAGGATATCCTGTCTGCATCTTGTACTATGGATAACCACTAAGAAGATAACAATGTACAATGTATTAACTATTGAAACTGTCCTATTAATCAGTTTTGAAACTGTCTCATTGCTGTATGTTTCTCAATAAAATAAAATAAATAATAATAAGATGGAAGACATTAATGAGTTGTTTTTCTTAACTAAAATCTCAGTATTCGGGCTTAATTGTGGTGTTGGCATTTTGCAAAAAATAAGTGTTTGTGGTTGTAGTTTGAGCAGTCATCTCTAAAAGCCCCATCATCACTGGTCTATACTGTCGATCAATTTAAACTCAGGAGCTATCAAAATAAAAAGAATTTATTGGAGGTTTTAAAAATTACTATTCAAAAAAATAAAGAGAAAAACAAATAAATAAAAACAATTTTGAGCCAGGGAGATAGCTCAGTGGAATAAGTGCTTGCCTGGGAAGCTCAAGATTCTGAATTAAATCCCTGGTACCACCAAATAATAATAATAACAACAATAAAAAAATAAAAATTACAATTCAAATTTTGTTTCATGTCTTATTTTTTCTCTTTAAAAGAAAAATGAAAACATCACAATTCACGAGAATAGGCAGCACGGGGACTTGAATGGACGAGCAGTGATGACATATTACAGAGGACTAACTGACCAAAGAAGATAATAAAGAAGGCATATAGTTGTAAAAATGTCCATAAAACAAGAGTCACGCTATGCACCATGAGTCCCTGGTCATTCCAGACACTTGCAGACAAAGCTCGTTTTCCAGCAGCACCTTGAGGTGTACTTAAGACCAGCTGCCTTATGGCCTCCCAAGTCCATTAAAAATTCTCTCAGGGATGCTGTCATTGTGATTTTCCTTTTATTTTAACCATATGAATGAGAAAAACTGAAGCCCAAGGAGAGGTAAGATTTGCCCAACATCACATGCCAGTGGAAACACAGGCAGAACCAGATCCAAGTCCTCCGACATGCAGGACTTGGGCCACTTTGTCTTCAGTTCTTGCACAAGCGTTGTGTCCTGAGGTGGAGGCGGACAGGGGCAGACACACGCCACACGATCCACCCTTCTTCTTCCTCTTTCTCTGACTCAGATCCTGTGGCCTCCGAGGGCTGCAGGTGTTCATTTGGGGATCTTATTAGGTGTTGGCAGCAGAGTCATGAAGATCCAGCGCTTCCTCCTCCTGGTGGCTCTCCTGGCTTTGGGGAGCCAAGTGCTCTCTGTATCTGGCAGGAGGAAGGGAGGTGAGTATGGTCCAATTCCTTGTTTCAGGGACTGCATGGTTTTGAGGGGAGTAGAGTTTAGGGGAGGACATGTGTGTGTGTGTGTGTGTGTGTGTGTGTGTGTACAAACCCACAGCTCAGTGCTTTGGGGAGACCATATTTTTTTGTGCAGCTCTGTTCCTGTCTACATGTGTGTATGTAAATGTCTTTCTTAGTGCTTGTCTGTGCCTAGCGGTGCATCCAACTGTACACAAGATTGTGAATTGTGTCTTTCTTTGTGCCTGGCTGTAGGAATCATGGAATGGCTGCATCTATGTGGATCTGAGGTTGTATACCTGTCCGCATGTGTCCATGTGTCTCTGACTCTTGACTAGGGCAGGAGGGAACCAGCCCATACTTACTGTTTTGTGGTCATATTTATGGAGCTGTGTCCCCACTGGCATTCTGTGGTCCTGGTCCCATCTGCAAAGAGTCTTGGGAGTTGAGTAGGAAGTGTGGCTCCTGGGATCTAGGATCTGTTGGAAAGAATCTGTCTCTGCTTCTCTTCTCCATTTCCCTCCTCTTGACCCAGTCCTATAACAGGCAAGGCCAGGGCTGGCCTATTGACAGTGAGGGAGACCAGAGTGCTACAGTAGCTAGACAGGTGGCTCCTGATGAGGTGAGGTATTGCCTCCCTCCCTTTGTGGGGTTGGAACACTGAGGCCTACATTCACCGGTACAGCCCTAGCCTGCGGTGGGGGGAAGAGGAACGCATGAGGACAGGTTCCCCTCTTCTCCAGGACCCTACAGAGCAGTTTCTGCATCCTCTCTGCACCTTTCACCTAAATTATGCCTTCCTCACAGGCACAGTTTCCTGCTTGGGGAACTAGCTGGTTTGGGGAAGAAGGTGCTCAGAGCTCTCAGCCTGAGGAAGGAGGGATGCTGGTAGGTTCCAAGGCCAGATCCTATGTTGGCTGTAATTCCTGCACTGTCACCACACAACTCCTCACTGTAATGCGGTGGCTTGGCATGATTTTTACCTCCATGTACTGGGATGAAGAAACCAAGGGATAGTGGGAAATCACTTGCCCAAGGCCAAAGATTGACTATTCCTAACAAAGATGGCATCTGAGCACAGGGCTTTTGTTTTTTTTTGTTTGTTTGTTTGTTTTTGGTTTGTTTTGTTTTGTTTTGTTTTCAAAGTTTTATTGATAACCAGATAGCAATGAGACAGTTCAAATTAAATCGGAAGTACAGTTTCAACAAATAATACACTGCATATATTCTTCTTAGTGGTTAATTGCTGTACAAGATGCGGACTTGAGATCCTATTT